CCGGTCGATACACCAAAATTTGATCAAAACAGACAAAATTTGATCGAAATAAAATTAAACCATATATCATTTTGATTTAATATAAAAATTAATACATACTGACCGTATCAACTGGTACGGTACGGTATCAGAAACCATGGTGTGGCGGCTTTGTTTCATCTTGTATAATCAAAGTCTCTTATATATTACTGGCTAGAAGGCAAACGTTTGTGTATTGAGGTATCCTTTGAGGAGTGGTGCATTGATCCTCTAGTTTGTGTAAGAAGTCGGAGTTAGAGAAACAGGGATTAATTGGCGCAGTAGTTTGGGATCTTGAACTGTGTGGTTTAATTTGTGGATTGTTTACATTACTTAAACTTATATTTTGAAGGGTGAGTACCCATGTACTTCACATTGATAAAATTTCGTTTTTGTTAGGTGAAAATAAAAATGTCAAAGATTGATGCACTTATTTGATTAAAATGCTAGTAGCATGTTTCATTTGAGGAAAATGGATGGATAGAAAAGAAATGATAAATTTTTTAATTAATTAAATTATAATATTTTTAAATATGTAACTTGATTAATCAAAAAATCCATCCTCTCCTTCCCTTCGTTTCCTAAAACTAAATATATCCTAGAGGTACTCAAGGATGGAGTGAGGGCATCTACCCACTAGAGCCTCCTTTAACTGAAGGAGAGTCTTCAACAAAATTTTTTTTTTCAATTTTATTTTTTAGTTGTATATATGCATGGTTAATATTTTGAAAAAGTAAATTTAGGCATTTTAATATGATCTAGAAAACCATTTGATAATTTTAAAAATTTTTAGCTAAAAAGATATTTTATTTATTTTTTAATTCCTCCTTCAAATGAAATATATGAGAACTTTTTTCAATTAATGACTTGAGTGGCATAGTACTAATCTACTTTAAGTTAAGAAAAGGAAAATTTATAGTTGCCATCTCATTATATAATCTAAAATCAAAAAAGATTATAAATAAATAAACAAACAAGTATTTTCAACTTAGACTCCATTATTTGTTTTTATTTTTCACATAAAATACTGATTAATACACTTTGATTCAATACACTTCTCAATATACTCATTAATAAATTATTATTTTTAAATTTAAATTTAAGACGAGAAAACTTTCAACTGCATATTTTAATGATTAAACTGATAAGTATTGACAAATATAGTAAACTAAAAAGTATACTAATTATTTTTCTTCCACATAATCTTTAAATTTTGGGTAAATTTTCGACCTACTGCGTTTGCCACATAATTTGTCAAGAATAGACTATATAATTTGGCTGGACACCTTTTCTTCTAGCTTCTTGGCTGGCATAAATTTATGAATAAACGGTTCATATATGTTGTGTTCGAAAAGTCAATGTTTTCATGCATGAGAAATATATGGGGGAGAAAAGAAGATAATGAAGATGAACAAAACCATGAGGTTTACATATGAAGTTGATTTGTCGATTGAGAGCTCAATTTTGTTTGCTACATAATTTGCAAATGGGTAATGATTAGTATATATTTCGATTCAACACACATTATAATATATTTATTAAGAAATTATTAGTTTTAAATTTAAATTAAAGGTGAAAAAATTAAAAATGATAAATTTTAATAATTGAACCGATAAATGTTATAAGATGTATTAAATTGGAGAGTGCACTAATAATTTTTTTTTTTATAAATACACACACATGCAATCACACACTTCATGACATAATGCTTTGGAAATCTTGGCATCAATATCTTTGTTTCAATGAACAATAAGGTCCACAAATAATAATCAATCCATTGTGAGAGACGGGCGAAGCCAAGAATTTATATTAGGGAGAGCAAAATTTAAAATTTTCTTGTGAGTAATTTATCAATTTACATGGTACAATTTATACTAAATTTTAAATTAGTCACTAATTTTATGCATGTACCACTTATATCATTCTCACCAAAATTTAAATTAATTAGATGTATTTAACTATTTTTTAATAGTATATAATTAATATTATTAAATAAATAGTATAAAAATATAGTTTATTTTCTTTGTAAGTTTACATATATCAAATTAATTTTAAATTTAAACATATAATTTAAATGAATAAAATAAATTTAAA